GTCCGGCCTCCTGGCCCCGACATCTCCCACCACTGCATCAAGCCAAATTACTCAGCGCCCCCCAGCCCCGGGCTCTGGTGAAATCCGATTAGCGAGGAGAGAGCTGCACTGAGCTGACAGCTCCTCCGATAATTGCTTCCCAAGTAAGTGATGCAAATCAGCTCATCCAGCCTGTTCCTGCTCCTCTCTTGGGGACCCAGGCGTCCAAGACCCAGGAGATGGAGGACACCAGAGTTGAGGAGACCTAGACGCTGTCATCTGCTTCCAGTTAAGTGGGCATAATCCATAAGGCTAGGTTGTGTTGCCTTGGGGCCAAGGTGTGGGTGGCAGGGTGGCGAGGCTGAGCCAGGGACCCCACTGGCTCTGCATTTCTGTCTTAACTGAGAGGGTGTCACTTTGTCGCCTTATTCTCACCCTGTGGAGAATAATCCCATTTCCCTGTAAGGTAGATAAAGGCAGAGATACAGAAGATACAGAGACAGGGAGATGGCTGAACCTGTTGAGAAACCAATCAGGCAGATGCGGTGGCTCACACCTGTCATCCCAACATTTTGGGAGGCCAAGGTGGGAGGATCACTTGAGCCCAGCAGTTCCAGACCAGCCTGAACAACATAGTGAGATCTTGTCTCTACAAAAAAATTTAAAAATTAGCTAGGTGTGGTGGTGTGCACCTGTAGTCCCAGCTACTGGAGAGGCTGAGTGGGGAGGATTGCTTGAGCCTGGGAGGTTGAGAGCGCAGTGAGCCATGATCACGCCACTGCACTCCAGAGTGAGACCGCAAATAGCTTTCCCTACTTGTGAGTCCCCGTCCTTGCCAGGCTGATGAAAAGACATGGAGTGTTAAGTCCCCACAGATGCGATGGGGAGGCTTGGGGAATCTGATTGTCTAGAGACTTTTGTGCCTGTGCCAAGGACTTGTCCTTGGGGTGCAGTGGCTCTTGCTAAACTTACACATCAAGGAGCCCATTCCCTTTCCCCAAATCAGGGCACTTTAAAGGACCTGTTAATGCTTCTTCCTTAAAGCATTTCCTTCCTACATCTTTACTTCAGGCTCTTTCAGTGACCTCCTTATCTCATCTCCTGCTGACCTTGGAGACCCAAAGAATTACTTTCCTTGTAATCCTGAACTTCCAATCCCCAAACCTAACCCTGCATGCAGGTCACTGTCTTTGTGGAAATCTATAGGGTGAGCTCCCCAGTCTTGTCCCCCATGCCTGTGTGTCTGATGTGGCTTCATGGCCTGATCTTGAGTCCTCAGATTAGCATCTGCCTGAGACCCTGGCCATGGCCAAAACCTTAACAGCAACAACTGCCTTTTGTGGAGCCCAAAGTCTGTATTAAGCACCTTATGTAATTAAGTCACTTAATTATCACAAAAGAAAATAGAGATTACAGGCCGGGCCCGGTGGCTCACACCTGTAATCATAGCACTTTGGGAGGCCGAGGTGGGTGGATCGTCTGAGGTCAGGAGTTCGAGATCAGCCTGGCCAACATGGCAAAATCTTGTCTCTATTAAAAAAAAAAAAAAAAGAAGATACAGATTACAATGATGATCCCATTTTACAGCTAACTGAGGCACAGAGAAATTAAATAGCATGCCTAAGGTCACCGCTAGTAAGTGGCTGAGCTTGGATTCAAATCCAGCAGTCTAATTCCAGAGCCCACAGTCCTGAGGCCTCTGCTCTGTTGCCTTTACTCTCCTGTGCTCTTTTCATGTTTGTTGGGCTAACCGAGACAGGGCCCAGTGTAGTGGAAGTGGGGAAGGTGGCTACATTGAAAGTTAAACACCAGAAACCCTTTTGGGGCTCCCCAGGCCAGAGGCAATGAGTGGGAAGCTGAGCAGCGTGACATTTGGTATCTAGGAAAGGGGAAACATGGCCCTCACTCTCTCCAATTCCTGACCTTTGTTTTCTGCAGTGGGAGGCCCTGCAGCTAGACAGCTCTTCCCTGTGACAAGGGGAAGGCTGAAAGATCCACCTAGAAGCCCAAGTGAGCTTAGAGTCAGAGCTAGGACCTGAAGAGGCCGATAGATGGCGCTCATGGCCCAACACAGCTCCAGCATCCCAAGGAAACCAAAGGAAAACAAGTGAGCAGGTTAACCCCTTCCCACCTGGGATCAGGGCACAGGAGCTGGCTGGTGGGTAGGCCAGGGCCCCTGCCCCAGGCCAGGTGACTCAACTCTCTAGGCTCTTACCCAGGCCATAACCTGGGTCAACTTCTGTTCCTGCCCCACAAGGCTCCACCCATAAATCACAGTCAGCAGCCTCTTGACGACTTCCCAGAAGACAAGAAGACTAAGGAGTGGATGAGACTGGGTGGGAGGGCTGCACCTAAGCCCATGTTCCATCTCTTGAGCTTCAGCTCTTGAAAGCCTCAGGGTCTCTGTTTCTTTTTTTTTTTTTTTGAGACAGAGTTTCACTCTTGTTACCCAGGCTGGAGTGCAATGGCGCGATCTCGGCTCACCGCAACCTCTGCCTCCTGGGTTCAGGCAATTCTCCTGCCTCAGCCTCCTGAGTAGCTGGGATTACAGGCACGCGCCACCATGCCCAGCTAATTTTTTGTAGTTTTTAGTGGAGACGGGGTTTCACCATGTTGACCAGGATGGTCTCGATCTCTTGACCTCGTGATCCACCCGCCTCGGCCTCCCAAAGTGCTGGGATTACAGGCGTGAGCCACCGCGCCCGGCTAGGGTCTCTGTTTCTAAGCACCGCTGCTTCTGGAGAGCTCCTCACCTCCATCTTTCCTGGGACTGACTCTCTGGGTGGGGAGGAATAGCACGAACTACAGACCGAGAAGGCCCTAGGCCCCTCTGACATCAGCTGTAGGGACTCACTGTGGCTGCCTAAGCCTCCATTTCTCCTTATATCTGGACTTCCTATCTCTGTGTTCCCTGGGATGGATGGGCTTATAGGCACAGAAACAGTTATTTAATTCTTCTAGGAAGATGAAATTGGGGGTGGGGAGGTGGAGGTCCTGGGGGAATCTCTGCTTGCCTGTTACTCATTTCACTCATTACTGTTCTTCCAGAAGCCGACTTTGAATGTGGAGGGGCTGCCAAGATGGCAAACTAGAACTAGAAGTGCTGGGCAGGCAAGTGACAGAGGGGTCAGAGGTGGGCAGGAGGGTTGTCCAAGGGATGGTGGAGATCCTAGAATTTTTAAGCACTGAGATGACACCACAATGAGTTCACCCCACCTTATTTTTGATCAGAAACACAGAAATGCATAATATACAGAGATGGGGGAACTTGTTCTAGAAGCTCAGGTCCTCTTATTCCAGTCATTCTAGGGCAAGAAGCAGAAACAGGGAGATGTACACAGTGGGAGACAGAGACACACAGATACAGAGAGAAAGCTATACAAGAGACTAGAGACAGAGATAAATTTACATATGCAGAGAGGGGCAAATTACACAGGCAGAGAGAGACACAGAGAGGGAGAGGATCTGGTAAAAATTAAAGCTCAGGAAATTATGGGCTTCATGAGGTAGATGATTAATTCCGTTTCCAAAGTCTTGCAAGGGTCAGGGTAGTTTCTCACTCTGGATGTCAGAAGGTCACTGCTCACAGCTCCCTGAAGCTCTACTGCACCCATTAAGTTTTTGTTGATAGGAGATCAGAGAAGTCCTGGGAAGGGGGTAGCATCCTTGTTCTCTCACTTCTTCCTGTTCTGGGGTTTATAGGCCTCCTTCTCTACCACTCATAGGGAGACCTTGCTTCTGTGATTAGAGCCTTGGCTGTGCTCAGGTGGGGTGGGAGAAATATAGAAGATAACTAGCCTTAGGGGGTTCCCAGTCTAATGAAAATTTTAGAGTCAGAACACAGAACCAGATCCAGATAGACAAGAACAAAAGTAGGAATAGGACAGCTTTGGACATAGATACTGGGATCTGGGAGCTGGGGGAAATGGACTGTTAGGTGCAACCATGGGATTAGGATTGATCAGGGAAGGGTTCCTGGACAAACTATTTGAGGAAGAAGATTTGGAATGATGAGTGGTGGCTAACTTCATGTGTCTACTTGAGTGGGCTAAGGGACACACAGCTGGTAAAACATTATTTCTGGATATGTCTGTGAGAGTGTTTCTGGAAGAGATTCACATTTGAATTGGTAGACTGAGTTAAGAGGATCGCCCTCATTAATGTGGGTGGGCACCATCCAACCCCTTGGGGGGCCAATAGAACAAAAGGGTGGAGGAAGGCAAATTCTCTTTCTTCGTGAGCTGAGACATACCTGTCTTTGGACATTATTGGAGTTTCTGGTTCTTAGTCCTTCAGGCTCTGGGACTTAGCTGTGAACCCCCTTCCCTGCTTTCGACTTGCCTGAATTATACCACTTGTCTTCCTGGTTATCCAGTTTATAGACAGCAGAGCAGGAGACTGTGAGACTTCTTGGCCTCCACAATCCCGTGGGCCAATTCTTGCAATAAATCTCCTCATGTTGATAGATAAATATCCTGTTCTGTTTCTCTGGAAAACTCCAATACTGAGGTTATAGGGCTGGGCAGATAGCAAGGCAGAGGAAGAAGTCAAAATGGTGACGCGCTGGAGATGGGCTTGGACAGTAATGGGGGATGCTCCTTGCTAAAGAGTTGTTAGGAGCTAGCAGAAATGCCTTCGTGGATGTTCTATATACAGTAATGGCGGGCTGCAAAGGAGAGGTCTCTTATAACCAGGGCAGTAGGGGGCCTCCAAATGGTCTTTAGCTATTGTTAACACACTCAGGTAGGTGAGGGATTGGGGATGGTTGAAACTTCCTGATTTGCAATCTCTTTGGGAAAAATGTGAATGAACTTTTGGAAGGGCGATGCCCTTTAGGAATAGAGCCCAGGATTTTCCAGGTCCTTATAGACTCTGGCCTCTCACTTGTCAAGACTTCTTTAACTCTGATGGAAAGAACAAACTACAATTCCCAGGGATATTTAGCGCTAACTTAGCGCTCCTTCCGGGATTTGAGCATTTCCGGCGGAAGTGGCTACGGGTACGCCAATCTCCTTCCCTAAACAATGTAGACTACGACTCCCACTGTCCTTAGCGCCAGGGTTGGGTTAGTGGGAAAGGAACCGGAAACAGAATGGGGAGCTGGACCAGGTGAGGAAATAGGAGGCTGGGAACATGGGTTTGTGGGGGCAGGTTCAGGGCTCCCAGGGTCGTCGAGACTGAGCCGAGAGAGTAGTCAGAATGTCTGGGTTTTGGGGACCCTCTCTCTGTGTGGGGTTAGACTCAGTGCAGGGAGAGCCCAGCCTGTGAAACTGCCTGGGAGGTCTGCAGGATCGAGGCTTTCCAGTTGCTGGAGACAGCTGGCGCCGGCGGAGGTTTTGTTTGGTGCCTTAGTAGTCGTTGGTCCCTTCGGAACCAGATGAAGGTCTTTTTGAGTTTATGCTTTATTATTATTTATTTATTTACTTTTGAGATGCAGTCTCGCTCTGTCACCCAGGCTGGAGTGCAGTAGTGCAGTCTCGGTTCCCGGGTTTCCCCGCCTCCCGGGTTCAAGCGATTCTCCTGCCTCAGCCTCCTGAGTAGCTGGGATTACAGGCGCGCGCCGCCACGCCCGGAAAATTTTTGTATTTTTAGCAGAGACGGGGTTTCACCAAGTTGGTCAGGCTGGTTTTGAGCTCCTGACCTCAAGTGATCCGCCCGCCTTGGCCTCCCAAAGTGCTGGGATTACCGGCGTGAGCCACGGCGCCCGGCCTATGCCTTATTATTATTATTGTAATTATTATTTAGTTTGAGGATATTTCTTATTGTCCCTTGGACTCCCAAAGTGCCTCCAAGGGACAGGGGAGTGCATCGTATGTCTTCAGATCATTCCTGACTTCCTGGATTTGATGTCAGAGAAGTCTGACATCAGCCTGAAGTCTGGCCTTGGTGGCCAGCCTTATCGATGAGTCAAACTACACTGCCTTTGCGCTTAATATCATATGACACCATGTTTTGTAAAATAATCTTTTTATTTATTTATTTATTTTTTGAGATGGAGTCTTTCTTGCTCTGCCGCCAGGCTGGAGTGCAGTGGTGCGATGCTGGCTCGCTGCAACTTCCGTTTTCCGGTTTCAAGCAATTCTGCCTCAGCCTCCCGAATACCTGGGACTACAGGCACGCACCACCAGGCCCGGTGAATTTTTTGTATTTTTAGTAGAGACGGGGTTTCACCATGTTGGCCAGGATGGTCTTGATCTCTTGACCTCGTGATCCGCTCGTCTCAGCCTCCCAAAGTGCTGGGATTACAGGCGTGAGCCACCACGCCCGGCAATATCTGCATTTCTTAAGCCTCTGGCTCTTGGGGCGACTTTGGTAGAACTGACATGTTCCTCCTTTGGGTTCTCCTAGTGTTGTATTAAAGCTCACATCACACTGTGTTATAGTTAGTTTACCTGCCCTCTCACAGCAGTTCAGGAGCTTACGAAAAGCCTGGTCTACATTTTACTCATTTTGGATTTCTTCCTCACCAAGAGACTGCTGCAGTGCCTGTCATGTAAGAGACTCATAAGTATTGAAAAAAATAAGTGAGTTAACAGCTGGTGGTAGGTTGGATGGAATATGTGATTTTCATAGAGGAGAGAGTTAAATGGGTTTCCCAAGAGAATCTTCTTAGAGATGAAACAAGAGTGGAATTCAAGTCAATTGACTTCTAGCCTGTGGCTCTTGCTATGAGATCAGGCTTTGAAATTATGGGAAGATAAGGCTTCATCACTCTTTTGTGTACCCCCGGCCTTGCTGTATCCAACACAGGTCTGTAAATGCCAAAGGTAGGCTCAAGACTTCTCTCGAGATTCTAGAGTTGGAACAGCCAATCTGCCAATGTTGGTGCTGCATGGGAGATGCAAAGCAAGGTCCCCCGAAACACTGGTGTTCTCCACAGCGCCTTTCTCAGCTTTTGTGTGAGCCCAGTTTGTCCTGGGTAGCCACCTGGACAGATCAGTTAAGACTACTGAGATCAGTTAGGGAAGGACTTCCTAAATTTGGCCTCTGATTTTTTTTCTCTCCCTCTTCCCCGAGGCTAGGGTGAGAAAAATAGGTTGATTAAGCTGTTGTGTCAACCTTGAGTTCTCATCTGGAGGAAGAGGTCACTCCTGACCCAGGCAGAAAGTTGAGAGGAAGGAATGACAGTGGTACTAGTCACATGGGAGACCCAGATGTGATGGCCTCACCAGAGCCTGGAAAACAAGCAGAGTGCAAAGTGGGCAGCTGAGCTTTGAGTGAACTCAGGAAATGGAAGTGGAGAGGGATCCATCAGGAGTGGCTCTTTTACCACCTTTTGGTAAAATGTGGTTTTTTAATCTTTATTTTTTAGAGGTGGGGTCTCACTGTGTCAGCCAGGCTGTTCTTGAACTCCTGGCCTCAAGCAGTTCTTCTGCCTCGGCCTCCCAAAGTGCTGGGATTACAGGCATGAGCCACTGCGCCTGGCCCAGAGGCTACTTTTAAACAAAAGTGAAAAACAAATGGACATTGCTGAGCAGGTGTTTGTTGTATACCTACCTAATAAGGGCCAAGACCTTGGGCTTATGGAGGGAGATTGATCAGAGCCTGGCTCTTGATCTGCCCAAGTTTAGCTGGGGAGGCAAAATGAATTCATCAAGGTGACGCTAACTATGGTGACACACAGTGGTTCTCAGCCTTCATCAACTATCAGAATCACCCTGGGAAGCTTGTTTAAAATACAGATTCCCAAGCCTCACACCAGACCTACTTGTGTTGGGGGTGGGCTTGGGACACTATGGCAAATGCTGCAGTGTTATGAGGAGGGAAGACTTTATCAAAGGGATGGTTTGAGCTGCATTTTGAAGGATGGGAGTGATTTGGATGTGGGGACAGGTGGGGGAATCACAGTCCTGGTTGACTAGATGACTATTGGATGATGTCCCGGTTGACTTGAGGAGTGTATTTGGTTGGATTGTAGAAATGGTATGTACAAAGTTTTGGGAGTTGAGGTAGGAAAGGCATTTTGAAAATGTGAGTAGAATGGTCAGGTTGGAACATTGGGTTCGAATGGGAGTGGAGTGAAGGGATGGCCTTTGCAGTTTACAAAGCTTGCTGTCATCTTCCTCTCCCTCCCCCACCATTCTCTCCCCTCTCCTTTCTCCCACCTCCCTTCTCTCTTGACTTTCTTCTTCCTCTCCCATTTCTTCCTTTTCTCCCTTCACCTACACATCTCATTCCATCCTTATGTCAACATTATTAAGTGGATATTATTATTCTTTGTATTTGAAGGAGGAAACCTGAGGCTCTGACCATGTGTGTAGCCTGTAAGATTCTATTAAGAGTCTGTAATCATCCTCCTCACTATTCCTGAGTGTGAGAAAGAAGCTAGGCTGGGATTAGGGGGTGGTGGAATTAGTAGGGTGGCTGATCAAACCATCTAAGGGAAGGTGGTGTGGGTGGTTAAAGCATAGCCTTGAGCCAGAGAGATGGTTCAATCAAATCCCAGCTTTATTATTTACTAACTGCAAGACCTTGGGCAAGTTGCTTAATCTTGCTAAGCCTCAGTGTCCTCACTTATAACATGGGAACAGTAATACCCACCTCATGGGGTTGTTGTGAGGATCAATGAGGTGTACCTGGCACAGAGCAGTCGCTCACCACCTGGAAGCTATTGTAATTAGCCTTCCCAGGTCTCTGGGCTGTGACTGTGCACTTACATTTCATTTTTCAGCACTGTGCTTTCCAGGATACAGTCCATTCTGGCTGAGCTTTTCTTTTTTAGGAGACATTAAAAGTGCTGAAAGGATGCCACCGGTAAGTGTTTACTGAAAACCTACAGTGGCTGGGCACGGTGGCTCATGCCTGTAATCCCAGAACTTTGGGAGGCCGAGGAGGGTGGATCACTTGAGGTTGGGAGTTTGAGACCAGCCTGACCAACACGGAGAAACCCTGTCTCTATTAAAAAATACAAAACGAGTGTGGTGGCACATGTCCGTAATCCCAGCTACTCAGGAGGCTGAGGCAGGAATCACTTGAACCTGGGAAGCGGAGATTGTGGTGAGCTGAGATGGCATGATCACACTCCAGCCTGGGCAACAAGAGTGAAACTCCATCTCAAAAAAAAAGGAAACCTACTATGTGTTTGGCATAGCCCAGGAACTAGAACTCAGACCTATGCCTGATGGAAAGTAGATTTGGTTTGGAGTGGGAGATGTTTGGTGGCTGTGACTTATCCTCACCAGGTGCCATATGAAGAGGAAGGATATTGGAAGTGGGAAGAGAAAGGGCCCTTCATTACCAGGAATTGAGGTGTGCTTAGTCCTGCTTGGTGGTTGGTAGATGCCTGACGTGGTCTCTTAGGGTCCTTTCGGAGCCTAGGAAATGGTAGTGGGGGCCCTGGCCAGCATGTATCCCTCCTCCCACTCTGTGGCTGAGGAATGACGAGGGCTCTGTCCATCTCTTTTCCCAGGTGACAGTGGCATGGCCATATGCCCCACGCTTTCCTGCTGGGGTCCACCCATGAGCCTATAGGTGCCCTGATGGAGCCCCAGCCCAGCCTTGGAAGCTTGGCTGAGAGCTTCCTGGAGGAGGAGCTTCGGCTCAATGCTGAGCTGAGTCAACTGCAGTTTTCGGAGCCTGTGGGCATCATTTACAATCCTGTGGAGTATGCATGGGAGCCACATTGCAACTACGTGACTCGCTACTGCCGGGGCCCCAAGGAAGTGCTCTTCCTGGGCATGAACCCTGGACCTTTTGGCATGGCCCAGACTGGGGTAAAGGGTTTGACTTCCCCAGTGGGTGGAGTGGGAGGCTCTAGGTGGCTGCTTAGCTGGGTATGCTGTGGAGAGGGAGCATGTGCATGGGTGTAGATATGTGTTGGTCCCCCCGCCCCATTCTTTCTCAACACACATACTGGCTCCTGTGGTCTCAGGCCCTCTCCCAGTGTCTCTGCCTGTAATTAACCAAGCACATTAATGGTAGTTTTGTTTTCCCTGTAAGCTGTCCACTAATTGCCTCTGAGAGCCCTTCCTTCTGCCAGCCCATCCCTACTTTACCGGATCTCCCCTGTCCCTGAAGTGTGGTTGGGGTCAGAAGAGGGACTAGGACTGGGGGGTCCTCAGAAGAGACTTGTTGACAGGGGTGGGTATGTAAGAGATGCAGGGCATTCTGGGAACCTGGGTTCTGTTTCTTAGCTAAGGTGAGGTTCAAAACGGAGCCAGCCTCCAGTGCCTGCCTGCTTTCCTTTCAGAGCTCAGGATGAGTGACTGCCCCTCAGTGGGGGTGCTTGGCAGGTGGGGGAGGGGAAGAGGCTTCAGGGCAGGAGGCTCAATCGCTTTTATTGACTCCAACTGGGTGATGAAAGGTGATCAATGATGATCGATGGAAATGACGGCCTGAGGCTTGGGGCGGTGAGGGCACCCAGAGAGCAGTGGTCAGCCCGTCCTTGTGCCTCCTTTAACCCTGGCTGCCTTTTTGTCTCAGACCATCTGTCTGTCCCCAGTACTAACCATCAAACCTAGGGCTAGCTATCTGAAAGTACTCCCTGTACTTGGTCCCAAAGGCTAGTTGGAGTAGACGCAAACAGATTCTTCTGGACCATAGTCCACAAGGAAAAACTGGAAAAAGATGGACAAAGATGGACAGGCTGAATCCATAGGGTCAAGAATCCTTGTCTCAGGGCTTTGGGTGAAGGTTGGGGTTGGAGGTGCAGGCTGGATCCTCATGGAAGGTATAAAGAAGTCAGTTGGTCCAGAGCCCAGGCATCAGGTCTCCAGTTTGAAGCCCTTCATGTGTCTTTCCTTCCTCACAGGTGCCCTTTGGGGAAGTGAGCATGGTCCGGAACTGGTTGGGCATTGGGGGGACTGTGCTGACCCCTCCCCAAGAGCACCCTAAGCGACCAGTGCTGGGACTGGAGTGCCCACAGTCAGAAGTGAGTGGTGCCCGATTCTGGGGCTTTTTCCAGAACCTCTGTGGACAGCCTGACGTCTTCTTCCATCACTGCTTTGTCCACAATCTATGCCCTCTGCTTTTCCTGGCTCCCAGTGGGCGCAACCTCACCCCTGCTGAGCTGCCTGCCAAGCAGCGAGAACAGCTTCTTGGGATCTGTGATGCAGCCCTCTGCAGGCAGGTGCAGCTGCTGGGGGTGCGGCTGGTGGTGGGAGTTGGGCGACTGGCAGAGCAGCGGGCACGACGGGCTCTGGCAGGCCTGATGCCAGAGGTCCAGGTGGAAGGGCTCCTGCATCCCTCTCCCCGTAACCCACAGGCCAACAAGGGCTGGGAGGCAGTGGCCAAGGAAAGACTGAATGAGTTGGGGCTGCTGCCACTGCTGTCGAAATGAGTGCCCCTGGGACCTGGCATGGGACACATTCAAGACCTCGAAGTCATTCTTGGGCAAGCAGATGACAACACATCTCTTGGATTGGAGCGAAAGGTCCTCCTGTGCTCCCTGGTCGCTGGGAAACGTATTCTTTGATATGTTGAACTGTCTTCCAACCAGCCGTGGCAGTTTTGACACTACTCCGGTTTGCCCTCCTGATTCCTGCTTTCTTTTTTTTGAGACAGAGTTTTGCTCTGTCACCCAGGCTGGAGTGCAGTGGCTCGATCTCGGCTTACTGCAACCTCCACCTCCCGGGTTCAAGCAATTCTCCTGCTTCAGCCTCTCGAGTAGTTGGGATTACAGGTGGCCACCACCACGCCCTGCTAATTTTTGTCTTTTTAGTAGAGATGGGGTTTCACCATCTTGACTAGGTTGGTCTTGAACCTCTAACCTTGTGATCCACCCGCCTTGGCCTCCCAAAGTGCTGGGATTACAGGCGTGAGCCACTGCGCCCAGCTGATTCCTACTTTCTTTACCTTTGAACATTGTCCCTTTCATGGGACCCCACTTTGTAGAGAATCTACAGAAGGTGTGTATTTGCACTTGCAGACTGCTCTACCTCATTGCTTCCTTGGGAGACTATTCACTGAGAGTGCCCTAGACAGTAATTTTTAAGGTCACATTTGCTATTTCAGAGGAAATATCTTGCCAGGATACCTACCCATCCTTATAGAACAGCTGGCTCCGGCTGACCCCTTTCCTCACAGGGACCAAGACAAAGCATGGGACATGAAATTAAGAATGAACTTCTTATGGGAGGCTGCAGCTGGATCAGAGGAAAAATCTGGTATGGCAGAGTGAAAGTCAGAAGACCTGGATTTTCATCCCAGCTTTGAGACTTGTGAACTTTTTGACGGACAAATTGAGAAACCTCTCCATGCCTCAGGCTCCTCATCTGTAAAATGGGGATGCCTACCTTTTGGGGTTGGTGTGAGGATTAATTGAGATAGCACTTGAAAGTGCCTTGCATGGGCCTGGCTCGTGGGTGCTCATTACAATACTCTTCTTTCTTGCCTCTGGGTTGAGGATTCACTGCACTACAATGGTAGCCCCTCTCCATTCTGGATACCTTGCTAGGGGAGAGTCTGGGCTTCCACCTGTGGCCAGGGTGAGGGGAAAATTCTCACCTTGTCAGAGATGGATCAATGACTGAAAAACCTAGCCTGTGTTTTTTTTTCACTGTAAGCATTAAAAGCTCCTAAAGCCTTTTGTCTTGTTACTTTTTTCCCACCTTGGATGCTAGAGGTGGAAGGTAGTTGTTTAGATTTCCTCCCTCTTACCTCTTCATTGTTGGCAAAGGGTTCTCTTAGGCAGCTGGGGGAAGGATGTAGTAGATCTTTATCTCTCTCTTTTCTCTTTTCCTGAGACGGAGTCTCATTCTGTTGCCCAGGCTACAGTGCAGTTGTGTGATCTCAGCTCACTGCAACATCTGCCTCCCGAGTTCAAGCGATTCTCCTGCCTCAGCCTCCCGAGTAGCTGAGGTTACAGGCATGTGCCACCACGCCTGGCTAATTTTTGTATTTTTAGTAAGGACGGGGTTTCACCATGTTGACCAGGCTGGTCTCAAACTCCTGACTTCAAGTGATCCACCTGCCTTGACTCCCAAAGTGCTGGTGCCTGGCCGGATACAGTAGATCTCTAACTGCCTTGCCAAACCTGCAGGGTCACTGTTAGGGGTCTTATATGATACTCTGGGCGCTGTGACAAACAGGCGACGGGGCAGATGGGAACCTGGTATCCAATTCATTTTTTATGTGCTGAATGGTTGATTGCGTGCTGCTTTGGTAAGGGTTGGGAAAGTGAACCAAGTTGGGAGCAGAGCAGGTCCTGAGACCACCTTCATGAGGGCACATGGTCTACTTCCTGTCTCCTGGAACACAGGTTATTTCCAGCTTCCAAAATTAGTAAGATCTTTAGTATAAATCCTCTCTTACTTCATTGTATAGTAAAGAATTTGGCCTTTGTCTTCAGTTCCGAAGGAGACTCTTAATCCTTGGAATTTCCCTAGTGATAGGAGCATCTTTGGTTTTTGTGGAGGGTCCCTGAAACTACACCTGAGATTTGACCTTAGGCCACATCTTATTTTATATTTAAATTTGATCTCAGACTGCACCCAAGTTTATGGTAAGATTTGACTGAGGATGGAGGCTGACCATGCCAGAATGACCAACCATATAGTTACGGGCCGGGACTCTGAGCTGGATGATATCAGCTTGATCCCCAGGGAAGGGAGAGGGGCTAGAGATTGAGTTCAGCCACATGCCCATGATTTTAATCAACTATGCCTACAGTAAAACCCTAATAAAAACTTCTGACACTGAGGTATTGGTCAGCTTCCTGGCTGGTGACCACATGGACGTGCTGAGGAATGTGCAGGGGTGTCCTGTTTCTCTGAGCAGAGGGCACACATCTGTGTGTGGGACACTCCTGGACCACACCATATATTTGTTTTCCTTTGGCTGGTTCTGATTTGCAACTTTTCTAATAGAACTTTAATGACAGTATAGAGTTTTCCTGAGTTCTGTGAGCCATTCTAGCAAATTCTGCAACCTTGGGGCCTGGGGGTGGGAGGTGGGGATTGTGGGAACTCTTGAATTTATTTGGTCAGAAGTGCAGGTGGTTTGGGGATCCTTGAGCTTGCAACTGACATCTGAAGTGAGGGCAGTATTGCTAGGGACTATGGCCTTAAGCCCGTGGGGTATGCACGAACTCCCTGTAGTTAGCATCAGAATCGCATTACTGTTTTGAACCTTCGCAAGCCGTAGATGTCTTCCCCTTTTGCTGTTAGTGCTGCATAGTGAGTGCCCTATGTTGCAGAGCACTGGATTAGGCACTGCAGAATACCTGCACAGAGATATAAGCCATCATTTCATTATACATTTAGCTGAGGTAGTCAAGGAAAGCTCTCTGGAGGAGGTGGCATTTCAGGTGGCCTTAAGACTGGGAAAGTTTTGGGTAGCTTAGAGAACAGCATTGTTATGTTCGAGGAGTGACAAGTTGTATCAGGGTCTAGAGAGACAGAACTGATAGGATACATGTATATATGAAAGGGGGGTTTATTAAGGAGTTGACTCACATGATCACAGGGTGAAGTCCCATGATAGGCCCTCTGCAAGCTGAGGAGCAAGGAAGCCAGTAGTGGCTTAGTCCAAGTCCCAAATCCTCAAAAGTTGGGAAGCCGACAGTGCAGCCTTCTGTCTGTGTCCTAAGGCCCGAGAGCCCCTGGCAAACTACTGGTGTAAGTCCAAGAGTCCAAAAGCTGAAGCGTAGTGGGCAGGAAGCATCTAGCACGGGAGAAAGGTAAGGGCTGAGAGACATAGCAAGTCAGCTGCTTCCACCTTTTTCTGCCTGCCTTTTCTAGCCACCCTAGCAGCCGATTGGATGGTGCCCATCCACATTGTGGGTGGGTCTTCCTGCAGGTGGGTCTTTCTCTCCCAGTCTACTCACTCAAATGTTCATCTTTTCTGGAAACACCCAGAAATAATAACTTCGCATCATTTGATTTAATCAGGTTGACACTCAGTATTAACCAACACGCAAGTAGCTTGGCCCAGCTGGGAGAAAAAGATGAAGAGGTAGACTGAACCTAGCCTGTGAAGGGCCTTGAATGCTAGAATAATTTTTGAGAATTTAAAGTGTCGTGGGGGAGGTGAGATGCACAGAACACACGCACTGAAAATACTCAACAATAGGTGAAAACCCATAGAAGGAGATGAAGGGGCAAACCATGTAGGAGGCAGTGTGGGTGCAGTGGGGAAAGGGAGGGGAAGGGAGAGGATGAGTCTATAGGGAGGATATCTGGGGCATGGCAGGTCTCGGTGAAAGCCTAGAGTTGTGGTCTCTAGGTGATGAGCTAGTGGGATAGGATTGGGTAGTACACAGGGACACTTGAACAGTAGTGACCAGGATGACCTGAAGGTCTGGGTCCTAGTGGGGCTTTTGCTCTCAGTTCCTGGGATGCATCTTGTCGGAGAGGCTGAGTAAGCTCCTGGGCCTTCCTGAGGGCGCTATATTAGGCTGCTAGGGCTGCCATAACAAAACTACCACAGACTGGGTGGCTTAATACAACAGAAATTTCTTTTTTCACAGTTCTGGAATCCCTAAGTCCAGGATCAAGACCGTTTGATCTTTCCTGAAGCCTCTCCTTAGGTTGCAGATAGCTGCCTTCTTGCTGTGTCCTCCCATAGTCTTTTCTGAGCATGCACCACCCTGGTGTCTCTCTTCTTAGAAGGACACCAGTCATACTGGATTAGGGCCCCAGCCTTATTACTCGATTTTTTTTTTTTTTTTTTTGGAGACAGAGTCTTGCACTGTCGCCTGAGCTGGAGTAGAGTGGCACAATCTCGGCTTACTGCAACCTTAGCCTTCCGGGCTCAAGGGATTCTCCTTGCCTCAGCCTCCCAAGTAGCTGGGATTATAGGCACCTGCCACCACACCCAACTAATTTATTTGTATTTTTAGTAGAGATAGGGTTTTACTATGTTGGCCAGGCTGGTCTTGAACTCCGTACCTCATGATCCATCCGCCTCAGCCTCCCAAAGTACTGGGATTACAGGCATGAGCCACTGCACGCAGCCTCTGATTACCTGATTTAACCTTAAGTGCCTCTTTAAAGGCCCTCGTCATACTGGGACTTCAACATACAAATTTGGGGGGAGGCATAATTCAGTCTATAACAGGTACACAAAGTCATGTCACTGCTTTTTTTTGTCCCCAACCAATGTCAACTGCAATCAAAATAGGGTACTTAGGAGTGCCTTTTTTCCAGTCTGGAGGATTGGAAGCTGGTCTGGAGGCTTAGGTAGCTGATCAGACTTAGTTTCACCAGACTGGCCTTTACCCCTCAGTTCATTCTAGAGCAGTTTCTTCAGTGCAAAGGAGAGTGTTCTTAGGGAAAGGAAATTCTTTTTTTTTTTTTTTTTTTT